CCATTGGCAAGACAGCTGCCAGTTTCCGTGGCAAAGTTAACGTGACCCAAAAACATATCAAGAGGTTCACTTTGCTTGAATGATCAAATTGCTGTAGCAGCCTGGGAGAGCTTTCTGCCCAAGAACTAGCTGAAGGCAGACACAGGCCTCCGGAAAGGCACGCTCCATGCGCTGTGAGCGATTCCTTGCTCTACCTCTGGCTGTCTGTGACAAGTGATTAATTCCGGGAGGAATGCATTCTCCTCTCATTGACAGTTCTCTTACCTCTAGTAAGTATTGAATATTGCAATAGAATTTATTTCTAAATGTGGAAGATTTTGATTTGCTAGGTAACGGAGAAAAATAAAAAGACTGTAAAAACTTGGATTTTTATAGACCGTCTAGCCTAGATTAATATAACTTAGTTAAAGTATACTAATATTTAACTTAAATTATTAACATAGAAATTAAGTTAATATGTAAGTTAATGTAGCTCTAAAGTATAGCGCTAGATATTATCAAGGAAAAACTAATATTTAGATAATAACCTTGGGTGGGAGGAAGGATGGGCCAGATGTGTCCCTTCCAATAACAGTTTGTTACTTTAACACTGGCCACCCATGCTCTAAGCTGCTCTATCCCAAAATCTTTTGCACACTTACCAGTGCCTGGAAATCTGATTTTCAGTAGACATTTCATAAAATGCGAATGAATGAACAAATGAACAAACAACTGCAGACCTTTCTCTTAATGATGCCTCTTTACTTCATGAGCAAATAATCCTTCAGTTAATTTTTCCCCAATGAGTTGACACTGACAGCCAACTAATATCTCAATTTCCCAGCGACTCCAAACCTCTGAAATAAGGTGGAGCTGGTGGCATCAGGAACAATAACAGCAACAACATGAGAATATAGCTATGCCCGCCTCTCAGGTTTATGCTCAGAAGATGACAATAGCCAGGAAATTTGTTTGAAAAATGCGAAGAACTGTACAAAATGTGTTCCTGTTATTTGTACTAGAAAAGAAAGAAATTGAATATGTAATAGTGTTTTTAATCGGAAATTCATTTTTAAAAATCACAATAGTTTTTAGCAAGCTTCTCATTTTTATAAAATACAAATGTATGCACTTTCACCTCTGGGGAAGGAATAGATTTAGCACTGGCATTCTAGCGCGGTGATTAAGGAAGCCCTGCCGTAAAAGGATTGTTCTCTCTTGTTTAGAGCTCATCGCCCATAGGACTTGCTCCCGCTGCAGCCAGGCACAGCCCTCAGACGGCAGCGGGGATTCCTTCGGTGGCCTCTCCTCATCCTTACCCTCAGGAACAGAAGCCGCAGACAGCTCTGCAGCCGACTCCAGGCTTGCCTTCGCCCCAGACGCATTTGTTCAGCCACCTTCCTTTGCATTCCCAGCAGCAGTCAAGGACACCTTATAATATGGTTCCAGTTGGGGGGATCCACGTGGTACCCGCTGGCCTCACATACTCCACATTTGTACCCCTTCAGGCTGGGCCAGTGCAGCTTACGATCCCTGCTGTCAGTGTCGTCCACAGAACCGTGGGCACTCCTGGGGACACAGTCACAGAGGTGTCTGGCACTACAAATCCCGCTGGAGTGGCTGAACTAAGCAGCGTTGTGCCATGTATTCCCATTGGCCAAATCCGTGTGCCAGGCCTTCAGAACTTCAGTACGCCGGGCTTGCAGCCACTTCCGTCGTTAAGCATGGAAACCGTCAACATCGTAGGCCTAGCCAATACGAACGTGGCCCCGCAAGTGCATCCGCCGGGACTCGCGCTCAATGCCGTGGGACTGCAGGTCCTGACTGCAAACCCTTCCTCACAAAGCAGCCCCGCCCCCCAGGCCCACATTCCAGGGCTCCAGATCTTGAACATAGCATTGCCTACTTTAATCCCCTCGGTCGGTCAGGTTACCGTCGATGCACAGGGAGCTCCCGAAATACCAGCTTCCCAAAACAAAGCACGCGAGACGCAACCCACGCAGACTTCTGTAGCCAATGCAAACCAGGTCAGCAGGACCGAGTCTCCTCAGGGGTCACCTAAAGTCCAGCAGGAAAACGCAAAAAAAGTTCTGGATCCACCTGCCCCTGCAGGTGACCACGCAAGGCTGGATGGCTCAAGCAAAATGGACACAGAGAAGGCAGCCTCAGCAAATCATGTGAAGCCCAAGCCTGAACTCATCTGCGTGCAGGGCCAGCTGGTGTCCGTGGCAGAGCCTCTGCTGAAGGCACATTCTGAAGGTGTCACAAAGCCATCAGGCCGGCAGACCCTCTCTCCAGACAGGCAGGTGCCCAGGCCCACAGCACTGCCCCGGAGGCAGCGCCCTGTGCAGTTGAGCGACGTGAGCAGCGATGATGATGAGGACAGGCTTGTGATAGCAACCTAGTGGGGTTTATTTTTTATTGTTTCTTTTTTAATAACACTTAAAGGTTTCTTTGAAAACCCTTCTTTCCTTAAAGCACATTTTTCTGACATAAACTCATGACTAATCTTTGTGCAATCATGAACTTTTGACCAATAATTGTTGTTTTGTGTCAGCTCCAGCCATTTTTGTACATGTTGTATAGACAATTGTGCCTTTTAGGAGTTTTATGTTTAGAAACTGTACAAATTGTTGAATATCTATATACATAAAAAATATAT